GAGGTGGGGATCTTGTTTAATTCTTCTGCAGATAGTTTTCCAATTTTGCCAACACCATTTGTTAAAAAGGCTGTCATTTCCCCACCTAACTGATTCCATCTCTTTGTCAAAAATCAATTGCCCATAAATAGATGGGCTGATTTCCGGGTTCTCAGGTCTATTCCATTGATCTATGTGTCAAGACACTTTTGATACATGAGATTGGATACTTCTACCTGCATCTACACAGTCACATTTTTTAAGATACAAAGTACAGTACATACATAGGTGTTTATTGTAACGGTTGTCATTACAGGTTAGCAAAGTACTGTATCATTATATGCCTGCCTGTACAATTGTTTTGTAGACACAGAAATACATGTTGTGTTACTATGCCCCTGTAATTCTACTCTCTGATGAGAATTTTTGAACTATAATATAACCCTGTGGGATTATCGATGTATGTGCCCTTTGATGTTATTCTTCAACAGACATTATGTGACTCATGACAATACTTCATAAGTCATTAATTGAATTTTCCCTTCTAGTTGAATAAATTATCACAGATTGCAAGAGAGAGTAGTTTGAACCCACTCAGAGCACTGCATAAACCTAAACCCTAACAAACCTTCTCTGTAATGCATACTGGGTCTCTTGAGTCAAAACAACAAAAACGATTTTTAGTTCCCTTGGTCAAATTCTTAGGCTTTCATATTTTATTGCCAAATTATATTCGTGTAGGTTTTTTATATTTAACTAATTTTTCATGTGTACCATCAAATCAGAGCCAACCGGCACAAGAATAGATTGCCACCCCTCTCCAGCAGAGCTTCTGGTGGAGTCGAACCGTGTCTCTTTGAGATTGCAGCACAGTTTCTTGCCACTAGGTCACCAGAGCTCCCTTGTGTAGATTTTAAAATGTAATTTTTTTTCCTATTTCATTTCACATATGTATGAGGTAAAAAGGTGGAGAACCAGACGAAGTAAAACAAAGGAATTTATTATCAGCTCTCTGGTGGGTTCCACACACCCAGGCAAGAGGGAGGCAGTGGGGATGGAAAGTTATGGGCAGGAAAGGTTTTATGGGGGTGGGGGAGGGATGTAAGTTGATCTATTCGATGGTCAAGTCACTGTAGAGGACATTAATTGGATGTCACCTGCCCGTTCCCAGGTATGGAGCTGCCCAGGACCCTTTAAGTGAGTTGAGTCATGGCTGGCGTTAATCAGAAAGTGGCCAGTGGCTGTGGTCTCTTCTGATTGACTGCAGCATTGGAATGTATCCCAAGGGGTGCATCTGTGCAGAAGGCTGCCCAGCTTCCAGGTGACCTTTCATTATGTAATGGTTGTTGTTGTGTATCACCAACTAGAGACTGACAAATAGCTGACAGTCTTGCAGGTTTTCAGAAGCAGTTAATCACACACAGAGCTGGTGCATTTGAGCCACGTGCTTTCGGGATTGCAGTCCAGCTTTTTGTCACTAGGCCACCAGAGCTGAAAACTGTATTTTTTTTTTTTTTTTAGCTCTGGGCTCTTTGGAGCACTTTGGGCAAGTGGCCAAGAAGGACCAGTCTATGCTCAGAAGGGTGGAGGACTGTGCAGAAGATGAAGACCCCAGATGAGATGGATTGACACAGTAACGGACAATAGAGGCTGGTGGGTTGGAGTCAGTGAGACCGGCTCAGGACAGGGTAGGCTTCAGAGCTGTTGTACAAAGGATTGCTATGAGTCGCAGGCGACTAAACAGCACATAACATGTAATGGTAAAATAGTCCTGAGATCCCCTTCTTTCAGTGTTCTGGGAATCCTTTACAGGATACCTTTAGACAAGGTTCAGTTAGTATTTGAAGGCGATACTCCAGCTGAGTTCAGAGACAGGAGCGCGCGGAGACACGTCGGAGGCCGGCTTCCCCATCCCCTTGCTAGTCGCTGACTAGCCAGCTCCCCGAGGCTCGCGCGGGCCCCAGCGGACTGGAAGCTTCCCCGCGGCCCGCACGCGCCACAGCGGACTTCCTCCTTCGCCGCGTGCCGGTCTCGGCGCCGACTGGCTGCTGCCGCGCGGTCCGCACGCGCCGCCGACCTTGCGCAGGCGCAGTGGGAGGGAGCGGGAACTTTCTAACGGCCAACGGCTGTGGGTGTTGACCTTGCTCTGCGGAGCTGTTTTTCCCTCTTTCGTCCTCCATCTCCAGCGCTTGGCCATGGCAGCCCTGGGAACCAGCTGGCGAGCTGGCGCTGTGACAGCGAGTTTCCTTTACCCGAGGATGGCATGGTATCCCCGCCATGTGGCACGCATCCCGTTCTGGGTCGGCTGGGTCCCGGTGAGTGTGGCCACAGCGCTCCCGAGCCCCCGCCTGGCCGCGATCCCGGCCGAGCCCGGGAGGGGAAGGCTGGCCTTGAAGACCCCCCTCTCGTGGTGGAGCCGCTGCGAGGTGTTCTCTTCCCCTCTCCTGCACCACCATCCAGATCCCTCCTCCGCAGAGGCTGGTGTCATCTTCCCTGCTGACCAGTCCCAAGTTTGCAATGGCTGGAACAACACAGTTGAAGCTGCTGTTTTTTTTTGCTGTTAGGTTTCCAGTATGGCAACTTTGAAGTGCAAACTTACTAAGAATTTTGCTTCAGAGAAGGTGGTGGTTCACAATAAGATCTCCATTATAGGAACTGGATCCGTTGGCATGGCCTGTGCTATCAGCATCCTATTAAAAGTAAGTTGTGTGTGTGCTCGGCCTATCCCGGGGCTGTGTCCACACCACACTGTGTAGCTGCCCCATCAGGCTTAGCCTTTTGGTGATGGTTCCATCCACATGGCCTCCTTCACATTCTTAAGATCGTGTCTGCAAGCGCCTTGACAGTTTATCATGTAATGACAGTATAAGGTATCCTTTTGCTAAATTAGGAAACTCAACAGACAAATTAAGAAATTAGTGAAACAGCTGGTAGTGAAAAATAAAACATAATATGTCACTGATGCGTAGGTGTTCTACTAATAAATAGTCTTTACTATAAATATTTTCCCCCATTTAGTCATCTGTGCATTTCCCACTCTTCAGATTAAATTTTAGTGTTTAGTTTTACATAGTATTTATGTATTTGATAACATTAGTTTCCATTTTAAAACCTAGAGACAGAACTAAAAATATATCTGAAACCCTTACTAAGAATATTATCTGCATCCAAGCTCGTGAAATTCTGGTTAACAATCATAAACTTTTTCAGGTATACTTTTAGAAAAAATGAGATATCTATAGAAATTATTTAATCCACCTCTTTATAATTCTTGGTTCCACCATGAACCATTAGAGGATTGGCCTCAGGCTTCATGATGTAGATGCTCTTTGGATTGGTGGTGCAACAACTCCTTACCACTAAGCCTCCAGAGACAACGATATATATGTTGTTGTAGTTGTGTACTGCAGAGTCAGAACGGACCCCTAGCTGACCATCTAGTGGGTTTTCAGAGGCAACAATCTCATGGGAGAAGATTACCCATCCTTCTCCCACAGAGCAATTGGTGGATTTGAACTACTGCTCTTCAGGATTGCAGCACAGTTTCTTATCAGTAGGCCACCATGATTGATCTAGAGAATGTTATTCTGAGTGAAGTAAATCAGTCACATGTTGTTGCTTACCGTAGAGTCAGAAACAACCCATAGCTGACCTTCCAGCAGGTTTTCAGAGGCAGTTAATCCCGGGGGGGGGGGGAGAAATTGCTCATCTTTCTCCTGTGGAGGTATTGTGTAATTTTGAGTTGAAACTGACCTTTAACTGACCCTCCCATGGGTATTCAGAGTCAGTATGTTGCATGAGAGGAAATTGCTTCTCTTACTTCCACAAAGCAGCTGGTAGATTTGAACTGCATATTTTGGGTTGGAAGTGTAACTCCTAACCACCAAGCCACAAGAGCTTCCTTATATATTGTTGTTACGTGCCATTGAATCGCTTAGGACTCATAGCAACTCTATGTACAGCAGCTCTGTACCCTGCCCTATTCTGAGCTAGTCTTACTGTCGCTAACACACTTACTCCCATTACCTGAGTAACTGTGTCATTCCATCTCATCAGGGGTCTTCCTCTCCTGTGCTGTTCCTCCACCCATCCAAGCATGATGTCTTGCACCAAGGACTGATCCCTCCTGGCCACAAGCTCAAAGCATGTGAGATGGAGCTTCAAAATCTTTGCCTCCAAGGAATAGCCTGGTTTCACCCTCTCCAGGACAGACTTCTTTGTTTTCTTGGCGATCCATGCTATGTTTAATACTGTTCTCCATCACCACAACTCAGAGGCATCAGTTCTTCTTCTGTCATCCCTAGTCATTGTCCAGCTTTCTGATGTGTAGTAAGTAATGCAAAGACCATGGCCTGAATCAGGCACACTTTAGTCTCCAGACTGTCATCATTGCTCTTTAACACTTTGGAGAAGCCCTGAAAGCACATTTCCCCAATGCAGTTTTTCTCTCTTCATCTTTCATGGTGCTACCAGGTGAGAATCTTTGTCTTCTTGATGTTGAGCTTCAATCCATATTGAAGACTACAATCTTTGACCATCCACAGCAAATGCTTCAGGTCCTCCTCAGTTTTTATGAGCAAGGTGGTGGTGTTGGGCTCAACAGATCAAGAGAAGCATACTATTGGTTTATAAGCTAAGTCATTTATTCACTGCTCAGTGGGGGGTGCCAGCAACATGGCAGGATTCCCCCATCTCCTAGCTTCAGCTAGGTGCTTTTATATCTATGTTGGGCTACGTGGGCCCAGACTACAATATCCTGCTGTTGACATATTTCTCAGGGTACAGTGATGTAGTCACAGGTACAGTGCAAAACATCTACCTCTTGGGTTTATCAAGGGTATATTGGAAAACGTTTACATAAACAGTAGCAACTATTATTTTGGGAAATGGGTCAAGACAAAACTTTAGGGCTGGGGCAGAAATTTTCTACACACAGGGTTTGGTTACTCAAATGGAGTGCTACAGAAAATGGAGTCTATTTGGTTTCTCAGTGTCATCTTCATTATGTAGGCTATTGATGTCTTTCTCCAATCCTGATGCCACATTCTGCCTCGTAAAAGTCCAGCCTCCTGAATGATCTGTTCCACATACAGACTGAAAATGTGTAGAGGCAGGATGCATCCCTGATGCACTTCCCTGATTTTGAACCATGCAGTGTTTCCTTGCTCTGTTCTGATGACTGCTTCCTGGTCCAACTATAGGTTTTGTATGAGCAACAATCAAGTCTTTTGGGATTCCCATTCTTCTCAAGGTTAGCCACAATTTATTGTGAGCCACACAGTCAAATGCCTTTGCTTAGTAAAACACAAATAGACATTCTTCTGATATTCAGGACTTTCAATCAAGATCCATCTGACACATTGGCAATGATGTCCCTTGTGCCACAGCCTCTTCTAAACCCAGCTTATATATCTAGCAGTTCTCTGTTGATGTTCAGATGTTTGTTTCAGTCTTTGGATGATCTTCAGCTGGATTTTTCTTGTGTGTGATACTGTTCGATAATTTCCGCACTCTGTCGTGTTGCCCTTTTTTGGAATGGGAACAAATTAGGATCTCTTCCAGTCATTTTGCAGATAGTTATTCTCCAGATTTCTTGGCACAACCTGGTGAGCACGTTCAGAGCAGCATCTGTTTGTTTAAATATGTCAGTTGGTAGTTCATGAATTCCTGGGGTCTTGTATTTTGCCAATTCCTTCAGAGCAGTTTGAACGTCCTCCTTCATTACCATTGCTTCATATGTTGTTTTATGAAAATATTCTGTGTCAGCCAGTTCTTTTTGGTAGAGTGATTCCATGTACTCCTTCCGTCTTCTTTTAGTGCTCCCTGGATCATTCAGTATTCTGCTCATAGCATCCTTCAGTATTGCAACTCAAGGCTTGAATTTGTTTTTCAGCTCCTTCAGCTTAAGGATTGCTGAGTGATTTCATCCTTTTTGATTAAAAAACCCACATGCAACACAAGTGATTGTTTGGTGACTAGAGGTAGAAGGGGAAGGAAATGGGAAAGATCTGTGTGAAAAGACAGGGTAATAATGGGCAAGGTCCTATGGTGATTAATAAAACTTAATGCATGAGAATGAGTGTAGGAAACAAAATGTGAATGAGGAATAGTGTGAAACACAATGTATACTAACTTTTTAAGCAAAGCAGTAATAAAAATAGAAAATCTTACACCAATTAAACATTGTTGTTTGTTGCTGTTATGTGCCGTCGAGTCGCTTGCGACTCATAGCGACCCTATGTACAACAGCCCTAAACTCCGCTCTGTCCTGTGCCAATC